AATGTCTTCAAGTCCAGGAAATAGTAACCACACTGATATAACTGGAGAATGAAAAACAGATATTTAAAGCTGCAACCAACCTATCATGGGGCTCCCCTTCAAATTCAAATGCTTGAGCATCAAGTGCTCAGTAATTGTACATTCCATAATCAAAAACACCTTCTAAAACTAGCAGACACACACAGCTTACTGTGTGAGAGAAAGTATGTTTTTGAAAACGAGTTCATTTTTTTTCCCTTTCCTTTAGGGCCATGGTGGTAAAGGAAATATTTTTATCTGGGCCTCAGGAAATGGCGGTCTGGCTAACGATCACTGTGGTGCTGATGGCTATGTGAACAGTATTTACACAGTGGCAACTGGAGCCGTCACTAAGCTGGGACTATGGACCTTTAACTGAAACCTGCCCTGCCTTCATGGCTGTAGTCCCTGTAGCTGTTGAAGTGGGATCCCTGAGTGATACCATTGCGGAGCTTCCCTCTAGTGTGGTCAATCAAAAAACATTTTGACAGCCTTTGCCTTGCTGCATTTTGGTATATGATTCAAATATTGAAGAATCAAATTTCAGCTCCTACCCCACTTATCTCTGTGGCAAGTTAAGAATACATTTTTCAACTGAAATCCAGTCACTTAAGAAATGTACTGTAGATTGAGCAAATACTTATGAAAAACATTAGATGAGTAAAACGTACTTCAACTTAACAACCTTTGAAGAGGCCCTGTAATATATATAGTATATTTATTATAATTTGCCATCTGAACACTGTATTGAATTTAGATAAATTTTTCTAGTGCTTTTAAAGATATATAAAGTCTACATGAGTATATATTTACCATGGTATTAAATTTCTATTACCTTTTTTCTGCCCCTTAATTGGAAAAATCATTTCAGTGCAGTAAAGCTTTTTATTGTTGAAACAAACACTCTACAAAATCGAGACTTAAACCTGCAGTTTACCCTTGCTGTAGCACATTGTAATATCACTAAGACACATAGAGTTCGGTCATTGAAAAGGGCTCTATGTTTCCTATGTCCTTATTCAAACGTTCAAATCTGACTGGTTAACTGCATTTCTTGCTTCAGTCCATATAATTTAATCTAACATACAGTATACTTGGTTTCCTGTTGTATTAAATTTTCACAAGCCAAGCTCAAAATATGAAAAGAGAAACAAAGAAACAAATGATACAAAACACTTTTACCAACCCAGCTCTCTAATTCTAAGGTGTTAGAGGAATGTTGCATAATCTCCATGGGTGATATCAACATCACTGGACAAGTGATGAAGCAGAAACCTGAGAAATTAGCCACTAGTCATGATTAATCCACATGTATATAAAGCTGTGTTGTTTTCCTTCTCTTGATTTTCTATAATAACTGTAGAGTGCAACTACAACATGCTGACTCAACTAAATATAGTAGTTTGCTTATTAAAGTGTTGTTAATAGACAATTTTGCAATTAACTACTAATACAAATGGATAAAAATTGATGAATTATGTTTGAAAATGCAGTGTATTTAGTGCCTAGGAGTCATCCATTAACTTTTAACCACCTTAAACATGGGGCAGTGCAGGTTCTTTAAGTCTCTTTAAACTAGCAGCAAATGAAGAGTGGGGAGAATCTGGTCTAATTTAAGCCTTATACTGTAATGGTCAGATCCAGGTGATTCAGTGCCCAGAAAACAATTTCAACTTCAAATGGTGAAATAAAGGTGTATAACAAGATAAGAAACTATTGTTCAAAATTCTGTGAACTTCCCGTGGTCTTGAATATTGATCAAGCTTAAAATCTTTCATTGCTGCTGCCTCTGTTCTCGGTAGTTTAAAAGCAGTTATGTGACTCAAGACATTTGTTGAAACTAGAAATTCATTTTTTCTAAGAAGTACCTTCTAGATAATGATGATGATGATGATGATGCTTGAGGTGTTGTTGTTTGCACAGAAACCACTACTATGTATTTGCAGGTTCAATTGAATATAAGATGCCATTCCCTATTCTTAAATAAGTTGTACATTTACAGTTCTTTAAAGATATACACCAACAATTGTTAACCTTTTTGGATATCCAGCTAATAGGCTTTTCCAATGAGAATAGTGAGAAGGACTTCAGTTTTGAAGGGACCTCAAGGGCTACACACGTGTCTCATGGAATCATGACTTTGCTTCTATTAGCTGAGTAAACATTCACTCATGGTTTTTAAAACATTGCCAGGCAATGTTATAAACGAAGACAACATAGAGGGTATATTGCTATAAATGTAGGTGTTGAGTCAGGGAAATTGCTATTATGATACACAATACCCCACAATGTTAAATATAGATTGGTATACAGTAAATACAAACAAAAATGACACCAATTTGAAAAAATGTAGCACAGAAAGTTAAAATTCCCCCTACATTAATTCCCCCTACAAAATAATTTCATGTGAAACCACATTCATTTGGTTCCTTTGTTTTGAGGACATCCTAATGATGGCATTACGAAAAGAATACAAATAAAAAAAGACATACAAAAGTAAAATTTTAATACTTACAGAACTAAATACAAAATACAGGAGACATAAACATAATGCAAACCACCAGCGGTACAGTTGCTTAGGAGGGTAATCTGGTTTCTACACAACAAAGGACCCTCCACAGGACAGTTGGCTCCCTAGAGAACTGTTTTTCTGAATTGTTAACCGGATAATTCATCACAGCGATACAATCACGGACTGGTGTATATTAAAGCAAAAAAAATTAAAAAATTCAGCTATTTGCTTCCTAAATATACCAGGGGTCACTACACTGGGGTTTCAGTCTTCAAAGAACAGACGCAAGTATTATTGGCTTATAGTAAGGTTTAGATCACTCAAAGCAAACATCATACACACTTTTTCAGTTCCAGATAACTGCTTTAAACACAGATCTGCCAGGCCAACTCTTTTCTGTCTTAGTGAGAAACGTCTAGTTGGTTGGTAGTTTTCACACCAGTAATCCCAATCTTTCCTGCATAGCTCTATATCCACTGGAGCCACACAGTATGTGACCTTCCTGTCTACTTTCCATGGCCTCTGAGCTGTGCTCCCATTAAGAACATTAGAATACTTTCAGCCTTGTTTGTTTTTCCAGGTTACTAATTGTTCTAAAGACCTCATTCAGCCATTTCTTGAAAGAAGCCAGGGTGTCAGCTTCAACAGAATGAGCATTGTGTGACCAACACGATGGTATTTAACCCTAGGTAATAACTATTCTGTACTGGCTAAATAATCCATATCATAATCATAATCCATAAACTATAAACACATAATCCATATTGGTATGGAACTTTCACACATAATATTAATTGTCTTTGACTGTTATTGACTGTATTGTTTATAATGCAAATAAAAAACTTCAAGCATCCTAGGCAATCGCACAAGTTCTGTCCAAATGACTGGATAAATATATCTTTTTAACAATCATATACATTTAGTACCTGAATGATTGAGATTACATTGTAAACAAAAATACCTCTAGATTATGTTGATCTAAATATTAGACACCTAATCATGGTGGTCATTTTTAAATTTCATATTGCAAAGAAATATTCACTTAGCAGAAATAAGCCTTAACTGAACTGGAACAATGGATCACCTTTGTCATGCTGTAAACTAGAACTCAACTTGAGTAAAGGAAACACAAACAACACAACGCTGCCAAAGGCAATTTGGAGAAAGTGTCAAGACTGTAGTCCCTCCCCCTTAAGGGCGCTCCGGCCCTTTCACTTCGGACTTGATTTTTGTGCACCTGTCCCCTGTTTCAGCCTGTTCCCAGTCCACCTTAAAAGCCAGGCGCTGACGTAAATCTGGGCTCTGCATCTGATCTCCATATCGTGCGAGTCCGGGACCTGGAAGCGCCTGGTCCCGTTAAGGTTTTATTCTCTGTTCCCGTTCCCCTCCCGCCAGTTCCAACCCGGTTCCAGTTTTTAATCCTTTGTTTTGGATGGATCACCTGGCTATGGACTTTTGCACTGTTTTGGATTCTGCTTTGGATTTCTTCTTTGGATTGTTTGCCCTGGATTCACCCCCCTGGACACCTGCACACTTTGGACACACCCCCCCCGTATTAATTCCAGATTCCTGCATGGCTTTTCTCCCCAGTGTTTCCTCACTACCCCGGATTGTGTCGTCCGCATAGGGTCTGGAAAGAACTGATACATTACAGAAAGTTAATTAAACTTAAAAGTTAATGGTCAGATTAATACTTTGTCTAATTGTGTTTGCTTTATGTTTCTGTCAGAAAAGCCTAATTTTCTCCCAGATTATTTTCTGCCTGAAGAAGACATGTAATTGTAGTAGATAATGGTCTGTTTTTTTTAGAAAACATCTTGACCTACAGTATATTTTTGTTCATAGCTGTTGTTGTTTTTTGCCTATGCAAAAGTGATAGAAAAACTATTTTAATTATCACAGTATATTTTTATAGGTGTAGAAATGATTTTAAACTTTAAATATCTAAATCCAGTTGATGTACTAACTAGATACCAATTCATGTTATTGGTTCATGGTAGGACCTGTGCTTGGATTGGGTTGGGATGGAATTTATATATATATTATGTATTTTAAAAGATTATTAAAAACTTCACAATAAATTTTCTACCAAAAAAATATTTTAACTGTTGCTGTAGTATGCATCCCTACCAAATAGTCTTATTGAAAGTGAATTAATCAAATCTCTAGGGAGCCTATATCTTCACTAGTACAAAATCTTTTGTATGTGATTTTATAGTCAATTCAGCAAACTACATCTGTATTCAAATGGAATTTGTCCCATGTTCCATGGAATTGTTAAATTTTCAGTGACTTAGTAAAATAAAACTTGCCAATTTTGGAACTAACTGTGATTTGTATATCAGAAACCATGAACACAGAGTAAAGAGAAAATAAAACTTTGCAATCAAACTAAAGTACAATATTTACTTCTGTATTCTGTTGGCGTAGTCTTTTGAATGCCCTTATTTTCAGGTGACATAACTAAAAACCCTTTATCTCCACACAAATCCATCTACAGTTTGTGCTGAGATGAGCACTTGTTGTTTGTGTGTGTAGGGGGTGTGTGTGGGTGTGTTTTTCATCACTTGAACATTGTAAACCATCTCCAGCAGAATCTCCTCTTCACAAAATGAGCAATCAATTAAATGACTTACAGCTTTGTACAGATTCTGTGTGGTCGAGAGATTTTGAGGTTCGGTGTTTTACATGCTTGTGTTGTACTAGTACAGAGGAATTTCAAAGTCACAGTAAAATGTGGAGTAACTACGCTGAACTACTGACATGTGTTACAGTATATCACAGTTTCAGAATGTTCCATATAATAGAAAATGCTGTTCATAACTTTTTGTCAAAAGTTTGTTGTAAAGTATAGCAGCTCTGCTTCT